TTGTAATAACAATACTAATAATACTATTATTACTTACTTGGCTATAACATCTAAAGGTGTAAAATTAGAAATATCAGCGTTGCTCATACTTTGACGATTTGCTGGCGTATCAATTGTTGTTCTAGAATTAATTTACAATGAAAGTTGGTCATCAACAATATTGGTTTTAATTTTACAAATTTTCTCTTTGTTCTTTCCAACTTACGGTAAAATCCCAACAACTTTTGAATTGTTAGGCATGCCACTTCCTTCAGCTGACAAGCTAAGTATTAGATGATGCACTGTTGCTTTTGAAGCACCATATCCAATAAAAGCTGATTTTTATTTTCCCAAAAAATATTTATTAAAAAAAGGATTTTTTTTCTGGGAGGGGTGAATCAATATTAATGATTGATTGATACCAACCAGGTGTTCCATATAATCTTGGATAAGATGCACCAGTCAATAATAAAAGACCTCCACTAATTATTATTCATGAAAGGTGATATATTAATAAAATGACATGTGAATAATAAATCTTCAGAACAAAAATAAATAAAATAAAGATACTAACTTGTTTAATTTCATAGTTATACCATTAAGATCCAAACCAAGATAATTAATAATAAATTCACCAATATCAGTGTTCTGATACAAATTTATATAGTTACAATTGTAAGTATACCATATAAATATATCCTATCTTATTATAAATAATTGTATGTTACCTCATGATTTCCATATAAATAATCAATATTATCACCATATGCATACAAATTAACATCAACACCAGAATGTCCATGAGTTGCCCACTATTATTAAATAAAAATATTAAATGGGAAAATTTTTGAAAGGACCTCCAAATTAATTAATTATGATTAAATACCCCTAATTCAGCTCTGTGACTAGTCATATTGGACAAATATAATTCATAATCTAATTGGAGTTGATTTTGGTTCAAATATTCAATATCCTCCTGTGTATAATCTATAATACCCAAGTTATTTTCAAGAAGTTTTTTAATATAGTCTTTACGATCAGCCTTTGAATATTTCTTCTGAGAGGACAAACGATGAATTTTTAACCTTAGTTAACACTTCTGGATACCATCCATATTCAGGATATTTGTGAGTAGTTTGAAGTGCAAGTGATAATCCACCAGTTTCATGATCACTAACCTAAATAAACAATAAAATTATGTGTTATGTGTGTATATATATATATACAGTTAAAATTTATTTATTAATTAATTAATTAGTTAATACTAACTGAAATCATCACAGTCCCTGGATGGTCGCTAACATATTGCTTAACAAGTGAAATTGTGTCATGATATGCAAAAATTTCATGAGCATGTGTTGCAGGATCATTCCTAATAATGATCATTGTAATAATTATTGTAGTTGTGTAATTATTGGTTAAATAAAAGAAAATGATGATCTTTTAAATTTACATATAGTTTACTTACGAATGAGCTGCCGAATCTAAAAAAAAATAATAATAATTAAACTATTTATAAGTACAAAAAACACATGTAAAATCATACATCACAAATATTGTTATTATTTATATTTATAAATCATAACTGCTTACCAATTTTACTTCCTTCAACCATCAAGAAAAACCCATGTGGTACAGTGTTAGAATCAGCCAAACATAATGGAATGGTGACCGGATTAGTGGTGACAAGTCGTATAACACACGCAACACCAGCAGCGTTTTCAGCACATATAGTTCATAGAGATTTAGAATCAGAAATTGCCGTGCATCAAATTGGTGACTATCCACTTGGAAGACAGGTTGATTTAATGTTTGGTGGTGGGAAATGTTTCTTTTTACCAAATAGTAGCGCAAGTAGTTGTAGAACTGATGACAGGGATGTGCTAAGTGATGCTATAAATAAATTTGGATTTAACTATTTGTCAACTAGAAAAGAATTTGATGATCTCAAACTGTCAAAAAAAGCGTATGTATATTCTTATTGTTGTTATCATTATTGGTATTACTATTAAGGATGAAAGAAATAATAATATTCAATAATTTGAAATTAGACTTCCTCTTCTGGGCTTATTCAATTTGGATGTAAGTCTTAATAATAATAACAATAATAAAGCTGGTATTCAT